AGGCTACTTGAGGCACTACCATTGCTGTAGGAACTAGGCAGAAAATGTGATGGTCAGTTATGCACTTAGGGATTTGTTAGATGCAAATTTAAGTCAGTCATACAGGGTCTCACACAAATGCACTATTATACTTCTAATATAAGTAGAATGCTGCTAGTCAAGACAGTCCATTTTTAATAAATGTATCTAGCTTTAAACCTTTGACTCTTGCTTGTAATTTTATGTATTGCTGTTTAGCCTTTAGTCTATTTCCTCAGCCTGCAGAACTGATGTTCTGAACTCACTTAAGTAGACAGCTCGTTTACCAGCCTTCTGAAAACAGATCTTCTGTCAAGAACTTGATGGCTAGAGATATTTCTAAGGATACACTGTGCAGGTCCTAATACAACCTTCTAACCAGAAGAACTTGACTAACCCTTCTGTAAGGTGGGGTGGAGGGCACAACCTGCCTTGGAAGCATGTTCAGCACTCCAACTATTGCTGTGCTTCCAGTTACTACTTCATCCTAACAGGTTATATTGCACTTGGCAGTATAAGCTTCTCTTGTTCTCTCCTGGCCTCTCAGATTCTAATTTGAGGTTAATATTTACGTGCAATAACTCTTTAAGCTGAATCATGTACTTGTCTCTTTGTCAGACAAAGAAGGAGCAGAGGCTGTGAAAAGGACAAAGTAGTAGACTGCTGAGTAGATGCTTAGTTTACCTGCCTTGCCTCTAGCTTTGAGTGTCCCTTATGCCTTCATCAACATTGAGGCAATTATCTGTGCCTGCAGAGAGCAAAAAGCTTGTCTGTTGGATGGGGATTAGTATCCAGTCTTAAAATCCCATTACAGACTACAGCCATAATGAAGATTCTCAATCCCCTGTGCACAGGACAAAAATGTAATCATCAAGGGTAGCTACCACATTGCCAACCCTTGCTCAAATAAGGGATAATCACGAAAGCATCTCTTGAGGGGAAATTAAATGTTGCTCAACAAAATTGTTTGGCATGTGCTTCAAGTCTTGCTAAGAAACAGGTATTTCAGGGATGACTTGTCACTACCAACAGCTCTCCATGTAAGGAGTTCAGAGACAACACCAAGAGCATGGTATGCCCAGACTCTTAAGACTGACTATTCCCAGGTAGATGTATGGAAATTAGGTACAGTGCTTGGAAGGAGAGTTGCATGGCCTGAGACAGTAGATAACACCTCGTACCTCAAGGTCTGTGTGTTGAGGGCCTGAAATGGCCTTTCCCTAAGGAGTAATTGGTGCTTGCTCTTCACAGCATAGTCCCTATAAGAAAGGAGGAAGATTCTTTCAGTGGTCTCAAGACCTATCTGGAGCAAACTGAAAAGTGAGTGAGGAAAATGTGGTGTGTATGTACTGATAGAGTCAAGAATTTGGGGCATTGCTCTCAGAATAACAACATCAATAAATCTGCAGTCTATCTTTGCATTCCTAATTTTTGTTAATTCTTTTCCTCCAGAGAGATGATTCTCAAAGATACTGAGTTCTCCAAAGATAATAAGTAACTGTCATGTACTGTGAACTCTCACCAAGTGACGTGAGCTGTGCCAGACCTCAGTTAGAAGAGCATGCCCTGTAATCTGGCCAGAAAACCCTCACTCTCCTTTTCTGATTACATTGTTAACACTGGGAATGAGCTTCTGCATGGTAAAATGGGGTATAGGCAAAAGTTCAGCCAGATTTGTGTGTATGCCTGCCCATCTTCCTCCACCTTGGGGTCATGTGCTGTGTGGCTCTATGAAAGTAAGTGGTCTGGGTGCTATAGGATGGAGGCAGGTGGCAATAATGAAGGGATGGCTAGAGTTTAAAGATAGCAGCTGCCCACCTGGATTTCTACCAGTTGCCGAAGTGAGATCTTGCTTGTGCGTATTTCCTCCTCCCCAGGTTATTTGCTTGTTACTTACTGCCTCTTAACTTCAGAGTGAGATACTTACTGTGTTTGAATAACATGGGTGTAGCTATACTGTTAAAATCAGGGAAGCAGGATCACTAGCAAGCAGGACTTGGCACCTTGAGGTTGCTCTTTCTCCTTTCCAGCAGGGAGTTGGACAGAATGTCCTAAAGCTATGACTCAACTCCTAGAGTGCATGTCTTAGCTTTTTTCTTCTCCAGCCCTTTTCCTTCTGTTCTCCAAACAGAACAGAATGTAACAGTAACCTTCCAGATGAGGGTGGGTTACTAATGGTTAACTAATGATTCAACCTTAACTCTGTCTTTCCTTTCTCTCTATTTCTGTAGAACTTCATGAATCTAGAGAGAGGCTCATTGTGCTGAAGTCTGAAGATTATCTCCACCCAAACTAGGTATCAGGCAAGCTAGTCTAGTTTTAGAGTAGAATTAAGTTAGCTTCATCCTACCTGCCTTATGTGTGGTTTTCAATGGGCATAGTCCTTTTAGCATTGATGGAAGTATCCTGCAAAACCCCTGTTGGCTGTAATAGTTTTCCCCCCTTGCTGCTTTGTCCAAATGTTGTCACTGGAAGCGTGGCATCCATTTCCTAAATAACCATGGCTTGCTATACCAGCTCTTCCTTTAACACCTATTTCTACTCGGAACCACTTGAAATTTTCACTGAATCACAGAATGGTAGGGGTTGGAAGGGATGTCCAAAGATCACCTAGTTCAATCTCCCAGCTAGAGCAGGATCAGCCAGAGATCACACAGAAACATGGCCAGGCAGGTTTTGAATATCTCCACAGAAGCAAACTCCATAGCCTCTCTGGGCAGCCTGTGCCAGTGCTCTATCATCCTCACAGTAAAGAAGTTTTTCCTTATCCTTAGGTTGAAACTCCTGTGCTGCAGTTTGTGACCACTGCCTGTTGTCCTGTCACTGGGCACAACCAAGAAGAGTCTGATCCCATCCTCCTGACACCCATCCTTTAGATATTTATGAGCATTAATGAGCTCATCCCTCAGTCTCCTCTTCTCCAGGCTAAACAGACCCAGCTCTCTCAGCCTTTCATCATACCGGAGATGCTCCAGTCCACTGATCATCTTAGTGTCTCCACACTGAACTCTCTAGTTGTTCCTTGTCCTTCTTGAACTGAGAGGCCCAGAACTGGACACAATATTGCAGATGTGGCCTCACGAGGGCAGAGTAGAGGGGGAGGAGAACGTCCCTTGACCTACTCACCACACCCCTTCTAATACACCCCAGGATGCCATTGGCCTTCTTGGCCACAAGGGCACATTGCTGGCTCATGGTCAGCTGCTGTCCACCAACACCACCAGGTCCTTTTCCCCTGAGCTGTTCTCCAGCAGGTCAGCCCTTATCTTGTACTGGTACATGGGGTTTCCACAGCAGCATCTTTGCCTTGCATCAAATGTTGCCTAGCTGTGGCCAGATAAGTTCCTTACAGAGGATAACAGATATAGCTGCCAGAGATCTGTAGTCTCTGTTGATTTACTTGAGCAATGCTAAATGACATTCACAAACCATCTGGTAAGCAGCTAGATCTACCTTTGCTAATATTAACAGCTTTTTCCCTAAAGGCCTCCCTCCTGGCTAATTGGAAATGGAGGCCTTCAGGTTGAAAAGACCTAGAAATCTGTGTTCTTCCTAGGTTAAGAAGCATTGGCATCCATTACTCTGTTAATGGCAAGCTGTATGAGTCAATCTGTAGCTACTGGCTTAGTAATGAATTGACGGAAAGTGCGAAGATACAAGTGTGAGCAAAACCCTTAAAGTAACTTCCAAATATTAGATAAAGCATTAGCTGTAACTAAGGCAAATGAGGAATAGGCTGAGAATTACAAGCCTCTAATGACAGAGGATATGGAATGCTTCAGCACTTGTATCTGGGTACGCAGTATGTCTCAAATGGTGTGCTGAATAAAAGTGGTGGCTTGGTCCATGGCTGCTTGCTTGAATATAGGGGAAATTGCTAGTAGAGGGTAGCCCAGCTACTTAATCATCTAATGAATTTCTTGGCTTCATTTGTCACCCTAAAATTCAAAGGGCTAACTGAAGCCACTGCAATACTCTAGACAGAAGATTCATAGAACAGTTTCTGTAGCAGATGTGAATGTCCAGTTCTTTCTGGCCTGAAATAAATGATCTTCAGAACTCAGTAAAGATAATGAGTCCCTCTCGTAAGTGTGAATCAATGCTTCAGCTATGTAGGAACAAAACATGGTGACTGCAGATTATTTCTTTAGATCTGTTTTGTATCTCAGAGGCAAAAGTTTCCCATGGCATAGAGTTAAGAGTTAAGTCATACTAGTCCATAGTTTCTGTGAACTTGCAGGTTTGTTTTCCTGAAAAAAAAAAAGTGAAAAAAAAAAAGTTACTTGATTACTGTTAAGACAAGGGAATGAGGTTTTGGGTTTTGTTTTGTTGTTTGTTTTCCTGGAACAGTCTGTCTGCAGCCTAAGGAATTTATTTGCTTTTACCTGTTGTGTGGCTTGACCTTAGACTCCCAGTAGTTATAGAAACATTAATAATATCTAGTGCTTTTTTGGGGGGGTGTTCTAATGTCATCTGCGTAAGTATTTGTAACAGATCCTAGCAAATGTTTCTTGCGTTCTCTCCCATCCTGCTACAGAGATGCAGCTGGCAGTGCTGACAGAGAATAGAGGAGAATATCTGAAGTTCTATAAATAGCTTTAAAGGGTAAAAAGCTAAAGGTTGATAGATTAAAACAGGGTGATGCAAGTACAGCCTTGTGGATGTAGGTCAGTGTGATCTACGGATTGAGTATTACTGAGGTGAGGGTTCATCACCTTGTGGCCAGAACTTCATTCTCTGTGTAACCTGAGATGACCAGACACTGAGTCAGACTTCCCATAAGATTACTACTAAAATTTTCAGGCACTAGTGGACTTCA